TCTGTGAACCATTTTGACCTGAGTTTTGTGCATGGTGATAGGCTTGGGTCTATTTTCAGTCTTTGGCAGGTAGCAAGCCAATTTTTCCAGCACCATTTATTAAAGAGACTGTTGTTCTCCCAGTGAGTTTGATTGGCCCCTTTATTAAAGATTAGGTGGCTGAGTGTGTTTTTGGTTTGGGTATGTATTTTATAACTGTAAGATGTTGAACTTATTCACTGTAGTTGTTACCATATATTTTGCCATGTTATGCAACATTCCCACATCTCTAAATATTGTTTTCTCTTACAGTTCCCTTAATTAAACAATAGGTAAAATGAATAAAATGTACTTACCATTGCAAGTCTCCCTGGGGAATTCCCCACATATTTGACTGTCTTCCCCAAACATTCAAAATAAGCAACATGCATATTTATAAATACTCTTTCCACTTGTGTTTACTTCCTACTTCTTCTCATTGATGGCACCATGCTTATTAGCCTTTGCAAAGCCCTGCTTTCCGAGAGCATTCCCAGCTCTCCCAGGACCCTACAGCCCCCTTCCTGTAGGACAGCTCCCCTAGGGGCTTCTTTGGTCTCCACACAGTCCACATGGCATGCATTCCTTGGGAAGTTCTATCTGGGCTGACTTGGACCTCAAGTCCCTGGTATATGAGAGGGAACCAAATCGATTTAACAGTTGTCCGTTAAATATCTCTATTTGCTTATCAGGTGAGATATCAAGGAAACAGGACCCCAGGCCATGGTACTTTTGTACTTTAAAGAGAAAGATGTTTCTCTAACCCACCTTTGCACAATATGAGTTCACCCCTAGAAATTCTCCCTGAGAACACCTGGATGAATAAGTGTCACAAAGGTGGACTGTGAACAAGTCTTCCTGGCATCCTAATCTGTCATCCTGTTTAGTTCTGAGATGTCTCAGAAACTGACCTACCCCATATAAGCATATGGTTCCAATTGATTTTAATGGGATTCCCTTGCAAGCCACAGATTCTAAATTATCCCCCAGTAGGCATAACATTTATTGGAGACAGATTATTTTACCCTCAATACCCCTTGGGCACTGTTACTGAATTCTGATAAAGCAGAACTGAGACAAGAGAAAGTAGTAGAATGCCACTGTTCATGTGTTCATTTCTTATAAGCCACAGAAATTAGATATTTCTAAGCAAAGAACATTTTTAAAAAGAAAAAGACATTAATTTCCATGCTAAGAAACATTAATCATCCTATAGTACTTGTTTTGCTTTGGTTTCTTCCAAGGGCAAGACATTGGGGGGGGGTATGTTTTCCCAGGTCTAGAGAATAAATGATTTAGTAGGCATTCCACGTTCAGCTCACAAAAAGGGGATTTGCATGTGAAATTGTTTCAGCAAGAAAACATCACACTAAGAGTTCATGGGAACTACCTCTAGCAGTGGTGGCTCCTTCAGCCATCTCCTTTTCTTTTCTTCCTCCCTGCAGGTCACTGGATTGACACTGTCTCAGGACCTCGATGATCTTGCCATCCTCTACCTGGCCACGGTTCAAGCCATTGCTGTAAGATACTTCAGTGCCATTTTTAAAAGGAAACTAGAGCTATCAGTATATGAAGTGTGGTTTTAAAAAATGATGTGCAGTTAAATTTTTAAAACATTTATTACAGTAAAAAACACATTGCCCTCAATCCCTATCAAAACAATCCTCCTCACTTTGAAGACACTTACCCCATCATTCTGGTCACTTTCTGCAGCGATTCTGGAAGTCCTCTTTTGTGTCTTTAGTGGTATTCTCATAAGTGCCTCCATGTCATAAATTGATCCAAATGTTTACCTGTCATTGTCCTTTTGACTTTAGGAGACAGCCAGAAGTTGCACAGTGCCACATCCAGTGAATAAGGTTGATGAGGACACCTTTTGTAATGTTTTTATGAGCCAGCCTTTCCACTGGATGACACTCAGCAACAGAATTTACTGTATGTTTTAATCTTACCTCTTAAAGACACAAAAGAGGACTTGCAGAAATGCTGCAGAAAGTGGCAGGAATGATGGATCAAGTGTGGTTGAGATAAGGGGGTTATTTTAAAGGGGGTTGATGGCAAAGTAGTATTTTCACTATAATTTTTAAAATGTAATCCTTCTTCAGTTTTAGATCACTGCTTGTACAATTCTAGACCATAAGCATCCTAAGCTTTTGTGACAGTTTCTTAATTGAAAGACAGAGATGGTGGTTTTCCAGAAGGAAATTTGACAGTCCTGATTTACTGATAACTCCACATGACTGAAAGTGGAATGGAATTAGTCTTTGATCTACCTCTCATTTATCTAATTTACCTTCTAAATTCAGTTAAATACAAAGCAAGCAGGCACATGTAATGTGTGCTTGTGTTAGAAAAACTGGTGTTAAGAATGTCCAAATTTATAAAGGATAATATTGTTCACTTTGTGAAATACTTCATTATAGGGTTTCTTTAAATAGTAAGTCTTTTTGGAACATGACAGTGTGTGCTTTTAGATAATTAGCTGTTTAAATGAAGTATTAGGATGGTTAAGAACAGAAAGGAGAATTTAAACTAGTATGAGCTCTTCAATGCTAAATGAAAACAAAATCTTAGAAATGTGAACATTATCTAAAAAATATTCTTAGCTACAGATGACCCAAGGGTGAAGTAGAAGGTTTTAAACCCTGAAATCACAAAAAAGTTTGTATGTGTATTCATGTTAAAAAGTATATTTTGGTGGAGTTAGTCATGGTTTTCAGGGTCTCAGAACAGGTACAGCAAAATAGCAGTTAATCCAGTGTAGTCTAGTCACTTCTGGGAAGAGAATAAGAACCAACATAAAGGAAAAATCAATTTACCAAATTTAGATTCAAAATTTATTATTAAGTAACGTGACTTTTTAAATAAATGGTTTTGTTAATGCTACACAGACATTTATGACATTCAATTACTCTCTCAAAACAATACTTTCACAACCTTATTACTTTGAATATTAGAACTAAATGTATATTTATCAATATCATCAATAGAAGTCCTTTTTTAATACTCAGATCTATCCAGGTACCATGCATGTACAATAGAGAACAGAACTACCCAACTACTAAAGGAATGTATAGCTTCTTTAATGTCACTGTGTAGGAGTATAGAAGCAGTCAACTTACCAAACAGTCCTTGGAGATGATGGACCAGTCAATCTATGTACTAATATACTGTATGAGAAATCTTACAATAGAATGAATCACTTACATTGAAATGGATAATCCAGAAAATCAGCTTACCTCATGAGCACAATGCTAAGAGATGGACACAAAGGACAAAGCTGGACAGGATGTGGTGAGGGGCATCATTACATAGTGGTCACATGACCTTCCAGGGACTCCAACCCTGTGCCTGGCACCATACATCACCCTCGTTTCACAGACAAGGGGAAGAGGCTGGTGCTGAGGACACACAACAAGTACAGTTGGAATTTGAACCCTTACCCATCTTGCTCCCAGGTGCCTGCTCATTGCACTTTACCAGCTGTATTTTTCTTTGATCTATTTGTAAAATCTACTTGGGTGAAATAAGTCTTCAGATATTCCTAGGAAGAGTTTTTACTAACATATTAGAAAAATCATTAACTTAACCTAGGATTTTTTTCAGAGGTCTTTTTCTTGATAAGACCATTGCAGCAGGAATTCCAGGAATGTAAAATGAATTGAACTTAATGCAGGCAGGAAGAGAAAAAAGCCAGTTATGTTGTCCTGAGTACAATTTGGAAAATCAATCTTGTATTTAATGGACCATCCATGTATTTAAAGCAATCAAATTTATTCTGTCCATTGATTTAATGATCTTCCTAATACATTAAAGGGAGAGCATTTTAAATAAGGTTTCTCAATAAGGCTTTATTGTGGAGTTTATTGAATTGGGGAGAGTTCAGTTAGTTAAAATAGTATCTAAATGTACTGATCTTTTAGTGCATTTTAATAACCATTCTGATAACAGATATCATCCTATAATGTTCGACTTGGAGCAAATGGTTTTGTTTTGTTTGTTTGTTTCCTGGACCTTGAATATTGCCTTAGCCCCTATTTGATGTTTACAAGTTAGACAAGTGCCTCTGTGTGGTAATATCTATGGTTAGTGGTTTGTAGGAATAGAATAAAATTAAGAAGGGAAAACTTAACTCTCAGGATTGCAAAACCCTCCATGCAATAAAGTCTCCCTTGCTCACATTTCACTGAGAGACCCATCAACCACCCAGTTCATCCACAGCCTGTTCTGTAGTTTTCTTTTGAGAATAGACCCATAAAAAGTACTATTTGCATTTGAAGTCCTTGATTTGCATTTGATTCTCTACATTCCCAGTGGAATAGCCTAATTTTAATTGAAATATCTTAGTGAAAACATTTTTTTCAGAAAGGTGAGCACACAATCATTTTCACACAAAGCCCTTTGGTGGAAAGGGTTACATAGCTGAGTTTGGGATGCCACATTGAAAGGGAATACCCTGGAAGGAACTGCTGGAGGGGGAAATGCGGCTGCAGTGCCACACTGGGGTGAGATGAATGCAAAAGAAACACAGCAGAATGCCCTTGTTCAGATCTTTCCTTCACTTTTCCCAGGAAATCTGCTTTGCATTACACTCCTCTTAGGGCTGCCAGTCATGCAGCACTAGGTGCTTGGTTTTAGAAGTATCAGAAATTTCTGTTTTGCATTGCATTCCCATGCAGTTTGGAAGGCAACTACCCTCTCTGCAAATTAAGTAACTCCTAAATATGTAGTTTCTGAGTTTGTCTTAAAATCAGAGATATCATTAAAGTGCACAGTGGAAATCATAGCACATAGCTAATAAAAAGAAGAGCTATTTTGTAAACACTTTCCATGTGCTCTTGCACATGCTGCCTACAGCAGGAAGCTTGGAAGTTAGGTGTCACTGTTTCGCCAAGTTGGAGGTTGACTTTTTTTTTCGTATCACCACTTTTGAAAATCCATAGAATTTTCAGCTGAATGAATACGGTGTTATTGTTCCTGTTTACCAAGTGAGAATTGAGTCTTAAAAAGGTTAGGCAGAAGAAATGGATGAACTTAAGAGATGCTTAGGGTTCTTGTTTCCCCTTTATCCTAAAACTTGTTCCTTCAGCTGTTACAGATCCACACCACTAGAGGAGACCAGTATTGCCTGTAATCCGTGGGCATTTTATGTTCCATGGTAGATTTAAGGGCATCTATTGACCTCATAATGTTATATGTAGAACTATTTTCTGTGGGACCAATTTTTTCTGGGTAGGTCAGTAGATTTTATCATATTTTTAGTGGGGTTCATGACCCCCCAAAAGCCTATGAAAAACATCTGGGAGTAATCAACCATAGTCAATAAGCAGGATCTGGCCTTAAAACATGTTTTAATTTTTAAACACGATACATCTGTGGATTCTCACTGGAGGCCCAAGTTTCACCTAATCCATATTTTTTAACAGATTCATGAATGGCTTCAACAAACCCTGAAGAACGTAAGCTGGAACTGCTGTGCCTTTTGCTCCTGCTTTGCCCCATCCTTCCTCATTTTCTCCACACCAGTTGAGATTCCATATCCTCTGGCCCCAGATTCCCCTCTCTGATACCTTCTTCCTCGGAGGCACCCCGCACCCAGGGAGAAATTTCTGCTCCCTCTTGTCCTCATAATGAACTATGTGTACTTCTTTTCTATTCACTGGGGACCGAGTTTCCTACAGCGTGGTCATTCTTACTCTAAAAACTATAATGTTGACTCACAACTTCTCTGCAGCCACCTTTCACCAACTTCTTAGTGGTGATACCAAGGAAGGGCTCTGGTAGAGATCCTGGGCCTTCAGATCCTTGACCTTTTGTCTCCCCTGACTTTCTCCTCCCTCCACTTGGGCAATTCACATGCATGCACTCCAGTTCACACACCTAAGACACACCATCTCCCAGAAATTGCTCAGTCTCTAAACATCTCAGAGGCTCTGTATACACCCTCAATCCTCTCCCTCATTGCTTTCCAGAGCCTCCCCTCAGGGATCATTATGTGGCTTTTCCTTAAGGCCAGGTCACAGTTCCTCTTGTTTTTAATCCTTACCCACAAATAAATTGTGAATGTTGAACTTTTGTGAATTTTGAACTTTTTTGTATTTCCAAATGAAAGTTCACCTCAGTAACCCTAAAGAAGTGTCCCCTTCTCAAACTTATCATGACTTTTACTGTGTTTAGTGTATTCAGCAAGGCAGGGATGAGGATAATTAGTTTTAGGAAGGCACCAGGACAGAACACCTGGAATTAAGGGTTGAGCTCACAATAGGTGAAGCTCCGAGCCAGTCAGAGCAAATGCCCTCTGCATCATCCCAAGTCATAGGGTTGAGCTAGGGAAGTGATGGTGAACCTTTTAGAGCTTTCAGTGATACAGACAGCCCCCTATAGCACGCTTGCCAGAGGGTCACCCCACTCAAATGGATACTGGCTCTAGAAGCCTCACTACTAGAGGACCACTTCCACCTGTGACAAATGAGGCTTAGCCCTCACGAGCCTGAAGACTGGCATCTCACGTTCTTCGTGCAGTTAAAGCCTCTTTTTCTGTATTTTTGCTGCTGTATTATTTGGCACCTTTACTAAGGAAAGAGTCTTTAGTTCTCCTTAGTGAAATAAGAATGACCCCAGTGCTATCACCTCTGGTGATTTCAGAGCAGTACTGCAGTTTCTGTGATCCCAGTACCTCACAGAGGGCCTGGGTGACAACAGACTGTCATCAAATATTTGCAAGAACTGTGTTAATATTAACTGTGTTAACATCATCAACCGTTTCTGTCAGAAGTAAACAATGGAGTAGTGAAGAGGCTTTTAGAGTCCAGCAGGCCTAGGTTGGAATTCCCACTCTGTGGTTTAATTAGCTGTGTGATCATGGGCAACATATCTCTCTGAGTGTCAGCTTTCTGAGGTGGTGTATATAAAGCTGTCAGCGCAGTGTCAAGCACTGTGTAAACACTTAGTAAGTGCTCATCATTTATTTCTGCTACCATGCTAATGGTTCCTTATTCTTTTCCTTTAAGTTTGGGACCCGCTTCATCATAGAGGCCATGGAAGCAGCAGGGCACTCTATCAGTACTCTTTTCTTGTGTGGTGGCCTAAGCAAGAATCCCCTTTTTGTGCAGATGCATGCAGATATTACTGGTAAGTCTCACAGGGAGAGGGATGAGCATCAAATGGGCATGGCACATTCTAGCAAGGCTGAGAACAGAGGACATAAGTAGAGTGCCAAGCTATGAACATACCTATGAGGTCTTTGTGTTCATCACTGGGAAAATGATTTCTATCCATATCCAAGGAAGAGCTCTGAGTGAGAAAACAACGTGACAGAAGCCTCCGTGACAGTGCAGAGCACATGATCTAGAAGAGGTGATCGGGACACTGGTGTAAAGAGAGAACTCAGGGTCCAGATGCTGGGAGAACCAGGCTTTAGCTGTAGATTGGGAATTTGAACCAAGAGACCAAGACCCTGGGATTCCTTCTCTGCTCATCAGAATCAGGGGTCAGGACACAGGGGAGAAGCCAAGCAGTGGGACAAGCTCTTTCTGATAGAGCAGGCAGTGGCAGAGGAACGCCCTTGGTAGAGCCCCTGGGGGCACAAAGGCTGGTCTGGGCACCTTCACCCCTCTTCCTCTTTCTCCCCCGTTTTCTCCCTGCTCCCTCCAAGAACCTATCCCAGAGCAGGCCAGGAACTAGGGCAGGACAGGGAGGAGAGCAGGGGAGGACTGGTGCCTACTCACAGCCCCCGCTCCAACTGGATGTAAGCCCGTTTGACCTTGGCCTATTGTCCTTGTGACCCTCACTGTCCTCTGTCCCTGGTCCCTTGACTCTGACAGCTGGGCAAGTCAAAGCCCCTGAGCTCCCTTTGACTTCCCCTCCAGATCATGCTAACCCCTGCATGTGAGAGAGTGGACACAGTTGACCCCGTACACTGTAAGATGAAACTAAATGGGTTAATTCTCCCCATCTTAGAGACAAAGACTGAGATGCAACTCAGAGGACAGTTTAGAAAAGGACAGTATAAGGGTATATCTATCAGGATGGGAACTATAATTACTGTCCATAATTACTGCCATGAACCAATCACCTAATATATGTCAGTGTGAATCATTCTATATTCATTTAATCCTTCTGTACCACTGAAATTTAAAAACTGGTGCCCTCATATTGCAAGCTAACTGAGGATAGGTAGGTGGATTAAATTGACTTGCCAAAGTCAAGCAGCCAGTGAAGGACACACTCAATCTTGTTACCAACCCTGTCTGGACCCTCTGTCCTTGTACTTTACTATTGACCCAGATTTCTTGATTCTTCTTTTGTAACTGTTTGGCAATGACTCCCTTTTCCCAAGGAATCCAGACCTATGGGACTGGCTAGAGTGAGCAGAAAGAGGAAGACAGATACAGGAGCCAGATTATCTAATCACTCCTGACAGGAGAGAAACTATGACCACATTTTATCTAAAAATCAACTGGGTAATTCAGATAAGGTTCAGGCTTAAAATTTGGCCTGTGACTTTCCAATTTTCAGCCTTCTAACAGCTGAAAACATCCAACCTGGATGAAGGAGGGAAATCAAAGTCACCTCTGGGTGACATACTGCCTGAGAGAATGGGCACAATGGGGCCTGCAGGAGCAGGGCAGGCAGGTTGACCCCATGGGATGGTACTGGGGAACATGGGTCCCAGTCCAGCCTGCTGTCTCTGAGCTGGCTCAGAACCTGGGCACAGCAGCTTCCTTAAAAGTTCTGTTTCAGAATTGCTGTCCTCCAAACTGTTAGATGAAAAGGCTATTAAACAGTGTTTGGATTCAGATCAAAACTGAACTCTGTCTCTAACTGCCCACCAGTTACAGTTTTGGACAAAGGAACCTTTTCTTTGGCCTGAAAGTCCTCTGCCTTTGGAAGCCTCTGGCTGACAAGTGAGGGCAAAGTGCATCTGCCTTTAAATGCTTTGGGCTCTGCTAAGCTCATTAATGCATCAGATAAGATAGTTCACCTTCCTCTTCCTCTCCCCCACCCAGCTCCCAAAGGAAAGAACACATTTGCATCTGTCCCAGGAAAGGCACCTGAGCAGGCTGCATGCAGCTGTGCATAGCAACCAGTGGATAGGTAGGGCTTTGATGCCTTTAAGTATTGTCATTGCTCAAGTTTCCCTGCCAAGAAAGATTCAGAAATGAGCATAGGCAGGGAGCATTATTCTCCGAAATGCACATGAGAAAATACAAAGGATTTAGAAGATTCTGCGGAGACAGGATGGCGTATTGAAAAAGCAGGAAGGCAGCTCTGTGACTGTGGGAAAGTTCCTTTCCCTCTCTGAGCTTCTGTTTTTTCTTCTGGAAGACAGAAATGTCATCACCTCCCTCACATAGATCATGCTGAGCAGTACATGCTTCAAGCTCTATGCCTGCTTGAAGTTTGTACATCAAGCTTTGTGCCTGCTTCTCTGTAGGTGATAAGTAAATGTTAATTCACTTCTTCAGTCCAGGTGACTTTGCACACAGAAGGAAAGGGGATAGTAAGAGGAAAAGCTGTTTAATATTTTGGCAGCAAAACCTTTGCTATGTTAGGAGCAGCATGCTCTGTGCAGGAAGGGAGATGGGCTTTGCCAGCTCAGGAAATGTCATCAGCAGGAGGAAGAACCTCTTTGTACCCTGGCACTTCAGTTAACTGCGGTTTCAAAAAACACTCAGTGTGGACTAAGTAATTGTAGGTTTCCTCTAATGATTTGGAACTAAATGTTCCTTCTGCTGAATTTTGTTTTCAGTACTGGCGGTTTTGGTCAGGGTTTCCCTCTTCCTGCCTTACTTATTATCTTAATCATTCATTCATTCATTCATGCACTCTGCACATCAGCCTGTCATGGGCTGTGCTTGGTGTGGGGACATAAAGAACAGTGATGTCTTGCATAGAGTTTTCTTTAAAAAAGAAAACATGCTTGTGGTCCTCTGACAGAAAGACCAGATACCAGTCCAGAGAGAACGGTGGGAACCAGAGGACAGAAGTGTCAGAGCCAGTCAGGCCCAGACTTGGAAAAGACATACACCCACAGTGGGTGAACTAGAAACCATGGAATGAGGGGTTTATTCACGGACATTGCTCAGGGTGCAGGAAACTCAGGCAACCCGGAAGTCACCTAGGGTTATGACAGTGTTGCCACCCCTAAGCCTGGGGGCTCTGTGAACAGGGACCCCACCAAGAGCTTAATGAGAGATGCAGCCAGCAAGCAAAGGATGTGATCCACACTGGGCAGCATCAGGACTGAGAGCAAGTGGGGAGAGGCAAGGAGGAGGTGGGACTGGTCTGAGAGGCAGGGGAACCAGTGGGGAGTTCTACCCTGGGCAGTACAGTGAGGTGACATGTCATAGATAAGGTAGGCTTCAGGAATCTTAACAGCTATTGCTTATCTAGTGAGTTCTCCAAGCCATGCACTGTGTTAAATACCTGACTTTTAATAGAACGTTTAATTCTCATAGCAACCCTAAAATGGGTAAAATTTTTGCAGTTGAAAAAGTTGAGGAACAGACAGGTCCAGCCTAGGATCACACAACTAAATCAGCAAGGAAGCCAGCATCCACACCCTGGCAGTCTGTCTCCAGATCAGGGCTGCAACCTGAGAAGGAACAAGGGGATTCATTCATTTCACTCTGAGCTCTGGTTCCAAGGGAAGAGGCCTGGGGTGATTTCCTCCCTTCCAGGTACCTGAAAGCTTTTGACTGGGAGGTAAATGGTATTTGGAGAGGCTTCCTTCGTGCAGTGCCCTGTCTTGATTGTGCCACTATGGCCCATCAGTGTGGCCTAATACTGGCCCTTCCCTCTATAGGCTGACAGGAACATGCCCTGTTCCTTCCCCACTGCCCCACCCTCCACCCCAGTTTACTTCCTTGTAGAGCTACACACATCAATAATGTTAATTTCTAAAAGCAGCAGCCACCATTTCTGCAGGGCTTATCTAGGCCAGGAAACAGG